TAATTAAATTTTTATATACTATAATATGTTATAAATAAAACAATAAAATATGTTACTTTATAACTAAATATAAAAATATAAAATAAAAAATACAAATCTTATTTATTTTAAAAGTACCATGAAAACAAATAATATTATTAAAAAGAGGAAAAAAGGGAGTGTTTCGAAGAAACAAAAAATAAATTCAAATTATATTAATTATTGAAAAAAATTTTTCAGGCATAAATTATTTTCTTGGGATAAAAAATAATCCCGATAAAAAAAAAGGTCTACACTAAAACCAATGTTTTTCTTGACATAATAGAGCTTTGGTTCATCTAAAAAAAGTCGGCAATATACATCACAGTATGAATAGGTTTTAAGCATTAACACCCCCACCCCCTTCGCGATTTTCACAGGGTTGCATGTGTTTTATTTGGTGATATAATAAAAACAAAAACTATTAAGTGGTATAAAAATTAATTATCAAGTTTTTAAAAAATAAATACCGCATTCATGTATTAGGAAAATTTTTTTACAATTAATAAAAATTTCTCATAAAACTTTTTAATTACAAAAAAATAATTTTTTAAATTTAGAATGTTTAATATTAATAATATTTTATCCAATAATACCAATAATAGTTTTAGAAATTCTTCTTTATACTATAATAATAATTCCTTTTTATCTAATCATTCCTTTTCCACATCATTTTCGCAATCTGCTATAAGTGCCAATTCTACTATAATAAACCATATAAACTCACTGGCAATTCAAAACCCAAAAAGAAAATATAATTGCTGGAATAAAGAGAAAATTGACATAGTAATCAAATTTTTGTCTCAGCCGGAAATGGAAAGAATGAAAATAAAGGACATTGCCAAACATATTGATACGTCAATAGCCTCGGTTAACAAATTAAGGCAAGAAACTTTTCCAGAGTTTATAGGGGGGCGAATTATAGATTATTATAATATATACAAAATAAAATATTCTTTGGTTGATAATTTTTATATTTCGTTCTTCTGAGCGCCTTTCTATAGAAAAAAAAGAATGGCATTTACATTTATCTGTAATATAAGTTAATTACTTTAAAGGTGGGTGGTGGCTGATTTTAAGTTTAAATTCTTTATGTAAGTCTTTATGATAAATATTGAGAAGGTTCATAGAATCTGAAATAAAGATCATTAAATACATAGTATTATTTTTTGTTGATGATTTATACAATACAGTATTACCACTTATACTTCCAAATAATTAATTTTCCAATTACTTACGATATTCTAGAAACATCTCATAGGTAAATTCTTATGTTACTTTTTAAAATAAAAATTATTGTAAAAATTTGAAAAAATATTCACTTAAACTATTTTTTTTCTTAATACATAAATGAGGTATTTGTTTTATAAAAACTTCATATTTAATAATTATACCACTTAATAGTTTTTGTTTTTATTATATCACCAAATAAAACACATGCAACCCTGTATAATAAACATCTTGTTGGTATAAAGTGTATCGCTATATTATATTAAATTGTTATAATGTTCACAATTCTGATAAAAGCTTTAAAAAAAATATATTAAAAAATCTAGACTAAATTTAAATCACGATCTTCCCCATTTCCAATAATTCATTCGTTCTCTGGCCCGGCCCGAACGGGCATGGGGTCGGGCTTGAGTCTAATTCTATTTAAAAGAGTGGGTTCGGGCCGGGCCAGGCCTAATATTTTCAAAAAAAAATCGGGCGGGTCTGTATCAATTTTATATTGAATTTTTTATGTAAAATAAAAATATTTGATTTTATATATTGAAATGAGTAATTATAAAAATGACTTTGTATATTTAAATAATTCGGGCCGGGTCGGCATAACTTTTTCAAAAACATTTCGGGTTCGGGCCGAGCCGGTAAAACTTTTTAAAAAAAATTTCAGGCCGGGCCGGGCTTGAAAAATTAGGTCCGATGCAGATCACTATCAAGTATATTATATTTCGTATAATGACTCAAGTTGGAAATCTAAAGTTAAAAATAAAAAAATGTTTTATAAATAATAACTAATTTAAAATCTTCGTCCTTTTTTAGTATACTCAAGTTCATAGAACTATTCGTGTCGACGCCTCAAGTTCATAAAACTATTCGTCCTCTAGTCGATGACTTAAGTTCATAGAACTTATCGTCCTCTAGTCGACGTCTCAAGTTCATAAAACTCTTCGTCCTCTAGTCGACTAAATTCATAAAACTATTCGTCCTCTAGTCGACTAAGTTGATAAAATTTTTCGTCCTCTAGTCGACTAAGTTTATAAAACTATTCGTCCTCTAGTCGCCTCAAGTTGATAGACTTGAGTTCACAACTCGAGTTAGTTTTGGGTCGATTTTTTCGACCCAAAACTTGACTCCAGTTTTCGGCTAAGTCGACTAGACAGTCGATTAACAACACTAGTCTTAACATTCAAAATATTCATATTTATCATGCCATTTTTGATCATATTAGTAGACACCAGGAGATTAGCCAGGAATTTGCTTGGAAGTAGTGTGGGGGTGGGGGTAATTTTTATAAAAATAATTTAAAAATAATATTGAACATCTAAAATTTTGTAAATTTATTATTAGGATTAATGACTAGAAAAATAACAATTACTAATATATTAATAATCTGTAAATAAATATCAAATATACTTTCTAAATAAAATAAATATAATTTTATCCACCGAAATTCTTTTATAATGACTCGATGAATATAAATAGCATATAATCACGAGGCTTGGATATTCGGCTAAAAATTTGGTTTCGCCGTTTTTGAAATCGGTTGAAACAGCCACTATAATATAAATACGTCCTGAAAAAAATTTATACAAAATAATACATTTTTGAACCTTTAACATGTATATGTCGTAATTTTTAAAGGGATCATGACTATCCGGGATCTTCACGGGATTTAAATGGATCCCTTTAAAATTTCTATTTTTTAAAGGATAAAGAACTATACGGTATTATCACTGGGGCAGAGATTGACCTCCAGTTGAATAAATCTTTTGATTAGCTATCGAATGATACCCTATACTAGACATATCTTATATCATAAGGCCAAAAAAACAAAATTGAAAATTAAAAACGCAACGGTGGAAAACGCTTTTAAAATAAGATTCCTCTTTATCACGATTAAAACGTGATACCGTATTATCATTCCTTAATTTTCAACCCTTTTTTAGTTATCCCTTTGAATCCCGTGAAGATCCCGGATAGTCATGATCCCTTTAAAAATTACGACATATATAAATACATTTCATTTAATTCTGCTATTAAATCTTTGAATATACTGGTAAATGAACACAATTCGTTATGTAATTTAACGCTCAATTTATTTGCGAATTGTGCCAGTTTTTCCAAGGCATTTTCAGAAACCTTTACTATTTATTTCATTAAATGCCTCATTTAAATTTTTTAACAGGTCCACTCGCACTTTAAAATCAATTGTCATCTTTCTACGGTACATATTTACTGAAATTTTAATTAAACATGTTTACAATATCTATTTTTACCCATTTGCTTTAAAAAAATTCAAAAATAATTTTGACAATTGTCATTTTTTTATGATACACCTTCACTGAAATTTTAATTTAACATATTTTTACCCATTTGCCAAAATTCAAAAATAACGATTATGACAATTGTCACTTTTTTATGGTACATAATCACTTAAAAATATAATGACAAATGCCAGTGCATTAATAATAGTAAGTCAGAGCATTATAATTAAAAGAAGCTATATATAACTTACCCTCCCATAATTTTAATATCTACTAAATGTTATTATTATATATATTGGCTAGGTCGAAAAAAATGATCAGGATAATGGGTGAGGTGAAAAAAAGAAACCTAAACCTTAGATCTTCCTTTAAAAAACGACCCATATTTTGGATCAGATCCAATAAAACGACCACAACTTTGGGAAGTCATAAAAAATGACCCGTTTAAGTCTGAGTCTAAAAAACGACACCACTATTCGTTTTCTAGTTGACTTAAGTATATAACTTGTATAACGACTCAAGTTGGAAGACTAAAGTTAAAGAAAAATGTTTTATAAATTAATAATAACTAATTTAAAATCTCTGTCCTTAAGTCGACTAAAGTTCATAGAACTATTCATCCTCTAATCGACTAAAGTTCATAGAACTATTCATCCTCTAATCGACTCAACAATATAATTTGTATTCACGACTCAAATTGGATGTCTAAAGTAAAAAAATGTAAATAACAGAACAAATATCTTAAATAATAATAACTAATATGAAATATTAGCACTCTAGTCGACTCAAATTGACGACTCAAGTTCATTGAACTATTTGTCCTCAACAATATAATTTGTATTCACGACTCAAATTGGATGTCTAAAGTAAAAAAATGTAAATGACAGAACAAATATCTTAGATAATAACTACTTTAAAATATTAGCACTCTAGTCGACTCAAATTGACGACTCAAGTTCATAGAACTATTCGTCCTCTAGTCGACTCAACTATATAATTTGTATTCACGACTCATGAAAGTTTAGAGTAAAAAAAATGTAAAATACAAAAAATATCTTAATTATTATGAACTTGAGTTTACGACTTAAGTCGACTTGAGTTCATAACTCCAGTCAACTTGAGTTTACGACTTGAGTCGACTTGAGTTCATAACTCGAGTTCACGACTTGAGTTTGAGTTAGTTGACATATTCGACTAATGACTCGAGACAGAGTCGGATGAACTCGACTTTTTAACAACACTACTAGTAACCTTTAAGGTTAAATTTATGAAGTAACAAGACATCCAAATGTTCCTCATCTTAAAGTACCTAAAAATTGAGCCTCAGCAGTGTTGTCTTCTAAAAAAATATGCTTAGTTGTTTAAATTTAAGTAATATTATGTTAAAAAGTTTCAATATTTAATCACTATTAGAATATTATGAATACGCTATTTTTTCTAGGCACAGTAATATCAGATATATCATAAAAAAATAATACAATAATTCATATTTACTTTGATAATATGGAATAACATTATGAGAAATTTTCGTTGCTCCTCCATTATATTAATGATATTTAAACTTAAAAATAAGCCATATTTATCTGGACACACAACAATATCCTTGAATAAATAATCGATAAGTATTTCAGATATCACATTGTTGATCATGATCGCACTCATCTTATTGCTAATGCCTATAGAAGAATTGGTTAATATAGTGTTGTAAGTATCCTTAGGGTAAAAATGGTTAAATGTATAAAAAATTTGCACAATAATATATATGATAGGCTTTGGTAAAAAATTGAGTAAATCACCATCTTTGCATAATTTAATTATATGTGATATAAAAACTTCAATATTGCTATAAATTTCATTGACTTCTGTATTATATGGTAAAAGGTTCTTTTGTAAATATTGTGTGTTATTGTTTTTTGTATTAAGATGGTAAACATTGATTTGGTTAAAAATCTCATCTTTATTCAAATCACCTATTTCTATTATACTTAGTATATGGGATAAAAATTGTGTCAAGCCTATTTTGTGAGAAAATATAGTTAACATGTTGGTTAATGATAAAATTATATAATTTAAGGCATAGGATAACAAGATATGTGAGTTTAAAAATTTGGAAGCATTGGTTTTTGATTCATGTTTTTCATTGTTTTTTACAAACCTTACTAAATTCAAAAAAATTTCAATAAGAATATAATTTGAGCTAAAATTTTGGGTAATTAAACTAGAAAGATTAGCAAAATCATTAATTTGGTTAATATAACTAGTCAGCAACTGCAATGAGGAATTAAAAAGATTAAGTGCTAATTTTTTATCTGCTTTAAATCCCGCCAGAAATAGTTTGCTATATATGATAGGGTTTATAACCATTTTGTATAGAAAATTTGAAATATTTAGTAATTCACTATTGTTTAGGCGATTGTTTTTATAATTTGTGATAGAATGATCATGAATAATAAAAAAGGGAGCATTATGAAACAATGTCATGATATTTGAAGACCACTGACGATTTTTGAAATCAATATGAGATTCCATAGAATTATCATTTGATGATAGATTATTATAAATATATGATTCTGTAATCAATAAGTTAGGATTTTGATTTTCATGATATGAAATATTTTTATGAAATAGATCTGTACCACATATATTGTTAGTATTATTGAACCAAGATAATAATTGAAATCTAATTTTAATAAATAATTTAACAAATTAAAAATATAATTTAACCTTAATTTTATAAGATGCATGTTTATTTGTGAAGATACTATATTGTTTTTAACGTATGATATGTTAAGGTTTTCTTCTTTAATATTTACCAGTATATCCAAAAAATTAGCAATGGATGTTGCCTTCATATAAATGAAGAAAATGATTAATTATATTCTAACTACTTTGATTTCGTTGTTTTGCATGATAATATTTCTTGAAAGAACAAATACTCCACTGCGTTAATAATATGTCAAGATTTAAAAAATTTTATAAAATTAAAATTGAACCATAAAATAAAAACAAAATATTTTTTATTTAATAATATATTTGTCATTATAAAGACTATAATTATCTTCTAAGGAAAATTAAATGTAATAGTGTCAGAGGATAGCTAGTGAGGGAGGGGGGGGGGGGGGGGGGTATTCACCATATATTACAAAAGAAAAGGTCATGTAAATTTTGAGTTTATTTTTGATACATTTTATTTGAGCATGTCTAAGAAAATATGAAGAGATAAATAATAATTAATATAATATATCAAATATAAAATAATATAAAATAAAACATTATTTTATAAAAAGGGAGGTGGGACTGCAAGTTCCCAAAAAACATTAATAGTTATATTTTAAAATAGTTATTTGAAGATTTTGTTTTAAAAATATATTCTTTTGGTTCTGATGTAAGAGCTCTTATCTTATCGCCTATATTTTTTAAGAATTTTAAAGTTCCTCTTGGCATATGTCCAAGGGAAGATATAACGATCGGTGTAAAAATATAATTTGTGAATTTGGAATATTTCTTTGTTTTTTTTGGCTATATCAACCGGATTAGAATTTAAATTTTTTGGGAAAGAAGATACGCATGTGAAGTCCCAAATTAAGGAAATTATTATTTTAATATATAAATATTCTGAATGATTATAAATCAGATATAAAAAAAAGAAAGAAATCCAATTAAAAGCTACACCTTTTTAATTTCAATAATTATCTTGCACCCTGCACAGTGGTGTATGGCTTAAATACTTAGAGGGGTGGGGGCTCTAATTTTTAGGTAAAATATTTCCAAATAACTTTTCATATTTTCATTACCTTTGGACTGTTTGACCTTTATAGTATTTTGATATATATATCTGGAATCCTCTTCAATATCGATGTCCATTAATATTTATGGACATTAATTTTGACAAATTCTTTACTTTTGAATTTGTTCGACTATCTACCATTATCAAATTTATAATTACAAGATTACCCCTTTAACATTTTCACATACGGTAGGACAGAATAAATTATTTACTGTTGTAATTGTAAGGAATAAAAAAAAATTAAATAAAATTAATAATATAGTAATATTAATTATAAGTAAATTGAATATTTTATAAATTATTCCTTAATTTATTATTAAATATTTATTCTATCAAGTAGTAGTAGATCATAAATTTAAAACAATAAAAAATAAGAGTGCAAATATTTAAAATATAATAAAAAATAAAAGTAAGAAAATTAAATGGTCAAAACTCAAAAGTAGTAAACATAAAAATATAATGTCCTTAAAAATTTTTTCAAATTAACATTCTCCACTTTTCTTAAATTTAAAGAAATAATATTTATATAGTCTATTTCACGATTTATACTATCTATTAAAAAACTTCCGATTTAGCAATGAAAAAGCTTACATAGAAGCAAGGGAGGCATTGTTTCTCTGAGAATCTTTCTTAAAAATGTTCTTAAAAAAAATTAATAAAATCGTTATAAAAAAAATGAATACTAATCTAACTTATATGCTAAATTAAATATTTACTATTACTTTTACTACGTTATAAAAATTAATATTATTTTTATTACTTTTAAAGATTTTAATGAGGTAAGCACATTTAATACTGCTATTTTATAAAATAAATAAAAGAAAAAAAACATAATACGATTTGGAGATATTTTGCATTAAAATATAAAATGGCTTAATTTTTTAATAAATAAAATAAAAATCATGCTAATGTATTGTATAATTTAACATTTAAAAAATAAGAATTAGGTAAGCAAATAAAATGCTTTATTTTTTAATAAATAAAAGAAGAAACATATTTATATTATATTATTATCACTTCTTTTTTTAGAAAAAAAAATTCCTCCTTTTTTAGAAAAATTAATTAATTTGAAATATCTAATAAATGCAATTGTATAAATAAAATTATCATTTAGCTCAAGAAATTTGGATATAAAGAAATTTATTATTTAAAAAGAAGATCAAAACCAATTTTACGAAACTTAAAAAAAAAATCAAAGCTTGAATTGGTAATTTTTCTAATAATATAAAAAATATTAGCGGCGTACTGGATGTGAATTTTCTAATTCTCTATATTATTGGTCATGCCTAATATTAAATATGCTTGGAATTTTTAGGAACTAATAATTTTTTGTAAGCAGTTTAACGTTGTGAAGAATCAACTGCTCATTTGCAGTCTATGATTCAATTAAAATCATTTGGCTATAAATCTAAATAAAAGATGGTAGATTCGATGCGCAAAATATCAATTGGAATTTTACTCAAAAACAGAGATGAATTCGGCTTATTTATAAATTTTTATTTTTTTGTTGGAGTAATAAGAATACAAAATGTCTTTCAATTGCTTCCCTAGTAAAGTAAGCTTAACGCTTCGTCACTGGTGACATGGAACCTTTATTTTAAATTGAGTGTGAAAATTTTACATAAGATAGCATATTTTTGATTTGTAAAACATGAGTTATAATATAATTTGTTAGATAATTATTTTAAAAATAAAAGTGAAAAAATTATAAAAAAGTGAAAAGAATTTTAAAAAATGAAGGGAAATATTGTAAAATAACAATAAATTGTAAAGGAAGGTTGAAATTATCAATTAAAATGAACAAGGAAATGATAAAAGTGTTGTTAAACGCTACTTTTAAAAGTAGCGCACTATCGCACCGCTATCGTTTTCAAATGAGTAGCACGTTATTAGCTACTTTTTACGCTATTTTGATTTTTTTTTTAAATATTTTTTACGTAACTTTATTTCTTGTTATTATCTTTACCAAATATTCTATATTTATATCATATTATAATAAATTTATAACCTGAAAGCCTTCAGGAAATTAGACCCATTATTTGTAATCATCTTACAAACCTTGTTCTGAATTTTGTAAGACATATGGATTTCTCAAATAATATTTGCTAGAATGACATAAGTCTGACAGCCAATTATTCTTTTTAGAGCTAATGCTGCAGATTCTCGTTTTAGATTTTTTGGATCAATCTAATGTGCGGTCACTCCTAAATAAGTTCTAAAATATGAATATCATATTATAAATCAGAAAATAAACATTTTTACCTTCTATTGTGCGTCCAGCAATCTGCTGTTGTACAGATGTAGGAGACATCTGATAGATTTAATATTAAAGATTCTTTCATTTATTTAAAGCTATCCAAAATTCTTAGCATCAATGTCTGCCGGCAAAATATCTTGGTACGTGGAGAAAAAGTGTTTATCATCTTTATAAAAGAACCATTATCCACCAAGGATAATGGTTGGACAGTATCTATTATAAAGTTCATTATGACTTTGTCAGCCAATTTTTGAGATACACCTGGTGATGATGAATCCAAATTGTTTAATTTTGTTTGAATTAAATTTGATTTGAAAGTGGATGTATCTTCTTCCATTACCCCAAAACTTTTGAGATATTAAATCTCTTTATAATTCGATGTGTGAACAGTCTAAAATTATAACAGTAATACTTAGAATAAAAATTATGTAGGGGATAAGTACATAAAAATGATTGAAATAACTATTTTAAAATGTTTTAAATAATTTAGATAAAATCTATGAATATATAAAAAAAATGAATGGTATTTGATTTAAATTTATTTTAAAAATTAAGGATTAGCCTACACATTGATATTAAATTTGTTTAATATATTACCTTTAAATATTTTGTCAAATTAAAGCTGCTTGTTTGATTTGAGGATAAAATTTTGCGACACATCTTGCATCGAAACCGATATCCAGTAGTAATTTTTTCTTCAAGATTAAAGTATTTTTTGAATTTTGGGAAAGGATAATCTATATTTTTCTCATTTTCCAAAGATATTTCGCTATTTTCAACAATCTCACACATTTTTAATAACTAGATTTATAATGTATATTTTTAAATATAAATTTAAATTTTCAAAATTAAATTAAATTAAATAAAAGGATTATAATTTTAGATTTGATAAAAAATATATTTTAATAATTTTTAGATGTATTTATTATGTAGCTACTTCGCTACTTTCTAAATTAGTAGCGAGCTACAGCTATCGCTATTTTCTAAAAGTATCCCGCTAAAGCTACCGCTACTGAAAAAAGTAGCGCGCTATTTTAACAACACTGGATAAAACTAATACAACCAGAAA